CCTACTTAATTCAATATGCCAATGATCTGTCTCTTATACACATCTAGATGTGTATAAGAGACAGGAGATAGGTAGATAGGTATAATTCCAGAGCCTGTACTTATAGCCTAAATGATAGGCCAAGCAGATCAAAATACGAATAACATAACTCGTTTTTGCTATTTACAATTAAAAAGGTACTGAATACTGAAGTGCGATAATGAAAACGAACATTCCTATACAATGACAGTGGGAGTTAAATCTTATCTGTAAACTTAATACAAAAAAAGAAGAAAAAGCGAAATGTGAAAAATGATACGAAGACGAAAAATTGTACTAGATTCTGATTCGAATTTATTGTCAGGTTAACTTTGCAGGAAATCATAAAAAATTGTTTACATTGTACTACAAAGTGATACAAATTAACCGTATAAACCATTACAAACCAGGTAAAAACTCAACAGCAGCTCAGTCTTATAATATGCAGTATTCTAAATCGTTTTGGTAATGTCAACATTGTTAACATAATTTTACAATAAAAAATTCTAAACAGATAATAGCTTGCATAGATTATGTAAAAAGAAATAAAAGTAAAATTTATCACCCGTATTATATTTTTATAATTCTACACCAAAATTAACTTTGTACCAGACAGAAAAGCTTTGAAATACAGTATACCTATTTTTACCCTGGGTGACCTGATCAGTGCTAAAGCATTGTTATCCTCCAGAGGCCCAGCACGCATACAATAAAATACAATCAAATGACAAAAATCGAGAGAAAAGTACAAAGACAATAAATAAAGGCTATATACATTAAAAATGTTAAAAGGATAAATTCAACAACATTATTTATACTCTCAATGTACATTAAAAATACTTATGACCTATGGGTATAGAAAGCCTGTGTATTTCCCTTTCCGAGAAACACATTTCAAATAAGACAAAGACTCTACACAAACTAAGAAAGGTGGTCATTGCTAATAAATATAAACTAGCCAAACACTAAGTGCCAAGCATACAAAGATCATTCTATGTTCCTACCTTTCGTGGTTTACTGTTATTGGTACATTAAAGGTGATTCTATTACAACAGTATACACAATTTAATTACGCATTAAAGGTGACTTTTTTGGCCACAATATTGACTTATGAATGTAAGCAACCCTACAATTAGTCCTTGCAATTCAATAATGTCATTCTATAGATTTACAAAGCACGAAAAAAATGAGAATTAATAATCTCTTATAAACATAAACTATAGTCCCGATTAAATCGAATAAAATCATTCATGAAGAATAAACTGTAAAACAAATCAATGTATAGCCTATAAATGCGTTTAATTCTTCTTGCTACTGTCCATGGAATTTGTATTTTCGGCGGAGTCTGGTCAGATCGATAGGTGGCGCTGTAAATATTCGTGATACAAGCATGAGCAGTAACACAAAGAGTATCATGGTCATAACAATGACGTAATGGCTAATGCTGTACAAAAGAAAAAACAAAAGATTTATTTCGAAAAACCCAACTCTTTAAAATATTAAATGAAACATTTAAAAACATTTATGATAATTAAATAAGTTCAGCAAATTTAATAACATTTTTTTTGTACTGAGATGTGTGAGGAAAATATAGCATATATTATAAAATAAATTTTATACCTCCATGGTCATAGGAGTGATGTTTTCACTAACTGACGTGTTATCGTATCGAAAGCTTAGTATGTTCCCAAATACTTGCAAACAAAATTTCCAAGTGATTCGGGTGGGAATCGAACCCATGAACTCCAGATAACTAACCTGGTGTCATATCCACTAGACCACCAGGCGAAACAAAACATCACTCCTAATTATTTGAAATTATGCAAAAAAACAACTCCATATGCCTATATCCATGCTTAAATGAACAAACAACTGCCTACTTAATTCAATATGCCAATGATAACATTCATTAAATAATCTGTAATATTCTATACTAAAGCTGATCTTACCTGGTGCCAATCTCTAGCCAGCTACCTGTATCTTGTACGAGATAAAAGAAGTGCAGGGCCATGGAGTCCGACATAAGTAGAACCAGAAGAAACAGACTGGACATGGGAACCGACAGGACTAGATGGATGGCTTGGAACGTACAAGTCACCAGCACAAACAACAGAGCAATCTACCAATTGAGTAAATGTTTGGTAAATTACACTTTCAATTAGAGAAGACTTCTCTATTTGTCATCCAATCATTTCCGTTCATCATACAAAACTGGTATTATTAGGCCTAAATTATTTGTCCTCTTACAAAGGCATCGGCAGCAATCAAAGCTAAAGAAACGAGATTTATACACGAATGTAAAATACCCATTAACAATAGAATGCTATGCACACAATGCCATAGCCAGGATTTTCAAACAGTGCGGAACAATATCAGGGTGGACCCACTTTGCGCGTAAATTCAAATAATGTGGACCCATTTTAAAGTTAACACATTTACACAAGAATATGAAAAATCTGGACTCATTTTTCAAAACTATTAACCCATTTTAGGCTAAATATGAGAAATCTGGACCCAAAATGTGGACTCATCTTATGCATACAATTCCATACTTTGGACCCATTTTTAAAAATGTGGACCCATTAGAAAAACTGTGTGGGACTTTTCCAACTGTCCCAATAGCTGGCTATGGTATTGTATGCACACCAATGTTAACAACCTACTTAAGTAAAATATAAATGTTTTTCTTGAACCAATAACAACATTTGCATACTTTCAGCAAAAATAATTACTATTGGTTTAACTAAGAAAAACCTATAATTTAAATGTTCTGAGATGGGGGTCAATAAAAGGAGAGAGCCAATAAATTGTAATTTTTTTAAACTAATATAATATCTACTCACATTATTAGTATAATTAATTACATTATTATTACTTATTACTAAAGTTTATTAATTACAGTACTAGGATTAATACTATTGTTATAATTTTTATCCTTTGTAAACTTTTTAAAGTAATTATTATTAGGTCCATGTTAGTACTCATATTATTAGTACCATTAATTACATAATTAATTACATTATTATTACTTATTACTAATATTTATTATTACTTTATCCCTTGCAAACTTTTTAAAGTAATTGTTATTAGGTTCATGTTAGTATTCATATTTTTAGTATCATTAATTACATTATTAATTACATTATTATTACTTTATTACTAATATTTATTATTATTATTATTATTACAGTACTAGGCCTACTACTATTGTTTTAATTTTTATCCCTTGTAAACTTTTTAAAGTAATTATCATTTGGTCCTATGTTAGTACTGTATAATGTTATATTCATTGCATCTGCAGCTCATATAATAATGTATGTGGTATATTTATGAAGATAAACCATTTAGATGTGGTTCATTTAATCAAGTAAAATTTTCTGGTGTTAATGCCTTTTTTTCCCCTTATATTACTTCCTTTAGTTAAGTCAAGGAGGTATATACACCTCCTTGGTTAAGTTACGTCCAATGAATGCCTACCCTGTATTTACAAATTGTGTTTTACATGTACTAAGTCTGAGCAGGGAGAATGCTCTAAATTCTTAAATCTTACCATCTTTTTTTGTGTTTTAATTTTGTTGGTTTTAATGACTTTGATTGTTAGTTTTACTGTGGATGTACCATTGATGTGATGTGTGCCACTGTTAAAAAAGCATTTTCCAAATAAACATTATTATTATTATACATTCAACAGCAAGTATACTCGCCACTTACAGGAAGGAATGAGGCTTCAGAAACTAAGTCACTTTATGAGGCTTAGGGAGTGGGGTTTTTAGTAAGGAGAAAAAAATAAATCTTTCAGGATGTAATATGATTTGAACCCACGACCATGCGATTGAAAAGCAAGTATCTTAACCACCAAGCTACAGATCCACAACTGTACTCATTTACAGGCGAATCCAGAGAACTTCTGACTGGGGGGGGGGGGGCACAAAATGAAGTTCACTCCACCATGCCCACCTCAGCCCACCATGGTTGGTGTAAATAAGTGGTAAATAATAGAGCCCTCCTTTCACCCTCTCCTGGATCGCCACTGAACTCATGTGTGCACTTCTTTTTTTCCTCTTTCCTATCTTTAACATAATTTTTTTTTTTTTTAAATTTTTCGGCTTGACTGCCGGGGGGGGGGCCCCCACAGGCCCTCATTTCCCCCTCCCCCCGCTGGATCTGCCACTGTCATTCACACAATGGTACTCATCTTGTATCATAATAAGGAGAAATGTCTTATTTGAAAGGATTCTATGACTAAATGGTGTCTTAAGTGAAGACTTGCACTCAGCAATGACTTGCAAATTATCAACTCCTACATAAAAAAAAAACCTCAGTGATTTTACACTTTCAAATAATTATGTCCTTTTCACTTCATATTTGTTTTTGACAGATTGTTTTTAGAAAGTGACCAGGAGATGAACCATAATATTGTCCATCAACACATGTACATGAACTTTTAGAAGAATCCGTTCAAAATTAGTCTGGAAACCATGTAATCAAGAATGATAGGTTGTGATTAGCAAATGGGTGCACTTTGGCTATGTTGAAACTTAAACTGTGTCTGCACTGGAATACTGTACTCATTTACAGGCGAATCCAGAGAACTTCTGACTGGGGGGGGGGGCACAAAATGAAGTTCACTCCACCACGCCCACCTCAGCCCACCATGGTTGGTGTAAATAAGTGGTAAATAATAGAGCCCTCCTTTCACCCTCTCCTGGATCGCCACTGAACTCATGTGTGCACTTCTTTTTTTCCTCTTTCCTATCTTTAACATAATTTTTTTTTTTTTTAAATTTTTCGGCTTGACTGCCGGGGGGGGGGCCCCCACAGGCCCTCATTTCCCCCTCCCCCCGCTGGATCTGCCACTGTCATTCACACAATGGTACTCATCTTGTATCATAATAAGGAGAAATGTCTTATTTGAAAGGATTCTATGACTAAATGGTGTCTTAAGTGAAGACTTGCACTCAGAAATGACTTGCAAATTATCAACTCCTACATAAAAAAAAAACCTCAGTGATTTTACACTTTCAAATAATTATGTCCTTTTCACTTCATATTTGTTTTTGACAGATTGTTTTTAGAAAGTGACCAGGAGATGAACCATAATATTGTCCATCAACACATGTACATGAACTTTTAGAAGAATCCGTTCAAAATTAGTCTGGAAACCATGTAATCAAGAATGATAGGTTGTGATTAGCAAATGGGTGCACTTTGGCTATGTTGAAACTTAAACTGTGTCTGCACTGGAATTTTGACCATGATAAAGGCTATGTTCTCACACGGATCCTGCTAACCGTTAGCTGCCGTGCATCCATACGAGAAAATCCCGATCCAGATACCAAGAATATGATAATCGAATCACTGGCCAATAAGAAACTAGAAATTGTAAACACGTATGTGTGATTGGTTGATGATAGAAACACGCTCAACTTGCTAACCGTTAACGGTGTCCGGATACCGCTAACGGTAAGTAACTTTACCGTAGTAAAATCATACCGGTGGATGCGGCAGATTTTAAGATAATAAGGTTCTAAGCATACAGTACATGGAAATTATAATTGTAGATATATTCTGCGAAAAGTATAGCATAATATTGACATGCATTTAGAAAGATTTAACAATGTGACGCTGTTTGCACGCTCAGGAAAAACTAGATTGTAATTTAAAATTAAATTTTTCTTCTTTATATTGAGTACCGTATATTCTTGAAAAATAGCAAATTTCGATCGAAAAACAGGGTCTTATACGCGCATCACATACACATTTTAGATTTTTTAATCATGTTCGTCTGAAGTGCGGAATATTTGTAACATGCATATTTACTACTGAAAAGAAGCTAATTAGTATGAATTAACGCATCTTTAAATGCGGGGAAACAAGACATACATTCGGCTCTGTTTTTAGTCAGTTAGATGCAGTAATAAGACCATAAAGAGCAGCTAAAGTATGAATTCCGACACTGAAGCAGGGGGTCATCTTATAAACTTGTGAAGCATCTTGGATAATTTGATGAAGAATGCTATGCAGATGGACCTACTGACGGAGTGATGTTCTAAGGACTGAACATCAGGTGGAGTGATGTTCTTGAACATAAGGTGGAGTGATGTTGTGATGAAACTACAGTTTGAGAAATGTTATAATGACTGAATGTCAGGTAGAGTGATAATGTGATGACTGAATGTCAGGTGCAGTGATGTTCTTGTGACTAAAACGTCAGGAGGATTGATGTTCTAAATACGGTACATTGTTTTAATGATGGAATATCAGTTGAAGTGATCTTCTTACCAATGAATGTCAGGAGTGATGTTCTAACGACAGACGGATCGATGTTCTAACAACTGGATGTCTGGTGAAGTGATGTTCTTAAATGACCGAGTGTCCGGTAGAGTGATGATGTAATGACTGAACATCAGGTGGAGTGATGTTCTAATGTCTCAATGCCAGGTGGAATGTAATGTTTTAATGTCTCAATGTCAGGTGGAATGTGATGTTCTAATGTCTCAATGTCAGGTGGAATGTGATGTCCTAATGTCTCAATGTCAGGTGGAGTGGATGTTCTAATGTCTCAATGTTAAGTTGAGTGTGATGTTCTAATGTCTCAATGTCAGGTGGAGTGTGATATTATAATGTATCAATGTCAGGTAGGGCATTGTTCTACTGACTGAACATCAGGTGGAGTGATGTTCTAACAACTGGATGTCAGGTGGAGTAAATGTTCTAATGACTAAATGTTAAGTGGAGTGAAGTTTTTACTGACTGAATGAGCTTTCTGCATGGGGATGAATGCTGCAGCTGACTTCAGAGAAAAAAGTTAAATAATATGTAGCTAAACATGAAAACATTCTGAAATTGTGGGAGAAGGGTTAGTTTCTGAAGATTCTTGCTTGAGAACATGCCGACATCTGGGAGACTCATGCAACACAAAGGAGATCATTGCACCCCTGAGAAGTCGGACCAGTGTTGTATTGACTGAGCTACGGGTGAATTTCAGATTGTATTAAAGTGGAGTGATATTCTAACAACTTGATTTTCTACTTCTTTCCAAAAAACATAATAGCTTATCAATCAAAACCTTGTCAATAGTCAATGGTCTAGTGTTTACAGCATATAATACAAACAATACTAGGTCTCTATGTGCTAACTTAAATCTTAAACTAAATTATTGGTACAGTACTCATACAGTAATATTGTCCTATATATTTTTTTTTTATCTTAATCTGTTTACGTGGCATTCAATCTCAAGATTTTTGTTTGTGACTTTTCTCTACCAATCCCTGTAGACATAAAATCCTTCAACAGCTTCAAAAGAGTAGTAGTGTGATGATAAAAAGCCTCAAAGTACAATTAGAAACTCAAGATTCGTCCAATCACTGACCGCGATCGCTGATCTTGTCGCCACAATTCTCCGGCAAGTTTCCGGACCGTGGGCAAGAAAACTAACCGCATGGCTATGATTCATCATGGAAATAGTGTTGGAAACATTGTGTGGGATGATAAGGCAAATTTTACTTATCTTTACCCAAAACAAGGACAGTTTCTCTAATGGTGGTAGTGTGACACGACACAGGTGCGACAATGTAGAGGTTGACATGGGACTAGCGTGATGCTCTAACACAGGTTGAGTGTCTTAACTGTAAGAGCTTCAAATCTCTTGATGCAATAATCTAGATTATCGCAGAACCACACTGCTTGATGGGGGGATTCCGGCTGATTCATCACTCAATTTCAAGTCTGATAAAGAGGAGTCAAATCCATAGTACTGTAGTACGATACGATATTATGATCGTATATAAACTCTAAAATGCTAATCAAGGGGGATTCTGTCTGTGTTCTACGAATAAACAAATTTTCAAAAATTGCTTACTTTATATAAGATGTAACTTTTTAATTAATAAATCCTGATTGGGACATACGTTTTTCTCGATTATTTATTATCATCTTTAATTAATGCCAGTGGAGGTATATCTCATCTATCCATTGCGCATTACACAATACCTTTATAAAACACTTTTCCTAATGGGAAAAGCCAAGGGTGTATATCACTTAGCCTCATAGCTCTGTTGGCAGAGTATCCAACTGGTAATCGGAAGGCCTTGGGTTCGAATCCCGAAGGGGACATACGTTCTTCTCAAATATTTGTCATTTTTTATATCACCAGTGGAGGTGTATTTCTATACCAAAGTTAATATGAATTTATAATTCATTGTCCTACTTTTAATTTATTAATCTCATTACTTAATTATTACCTGTTAATAATTGTACGTTGTAGTAACGTT